TGACAGTGGGTGCAACACAGGAGGCCTCCAAGTGACACCTGCAGCCATATCTGTCCTCAGACCCCTCAACAGGCTCCTCATTAAATTCCTGGGCAGCCACCCCCTTCACCTAGCAGTCCCGAAGTGGACGCCTACTCACCTTCGAGGTCACCTGAGTGAGGGCTCACCTGAGCTGGCGGTGCGGAGAACAGGTCTGAGGACGCTGCTGGGCTGTGGACGGCCCAGGCAGGTAGGTTGGCTCTTTAAACCCCACAGCCCCACCCCGGGACAAATTAGCTGGGCGTGGTGGCAGGCGCCTGTAATCCCAGCTACTTGGGAGGGAACTGGTCAGGCTTCCTGAGACTCAGGTTGACCGGCCTGACACACCCAGGGCTGTGGGGGAGGGGCAGGCCTGGCTGCAAACCCTTTTCTGGCTTCTTTAGCTCACCCAGATCCTAAAAGAGGGGCCCAGAGGGTGCTGGGCAGGATGTTTCTAGGCTCTTTTGCCAGCTGCAGGGGTGCTGGGATGTCTGTGTGGGGGTGTCCTGGGGACCTTGGAGTAGACCAGGAGCCAGGCACTGGCCATGAGGCTCCCTGTGCTCAGCTGTGCCACTGCTGTCACTTGGACTGGGTGTCCACTGAGGGGAGGCTGGTGGCTGATGGGCACCCCTGGGGGGTGGTTCACTCTCTGACAGGGCCGTGACACCCACAGCCTCCCCAACAGCAGAGAGATGGAGTCAGGAGGAGGATAGCCACCCCAGGCTGAGGGGTGGCTGCCTCTCTCTGTGGACCACAGGCCTGCCTTGATGCTGGGGCCAAAACTCACCCCACACAGGCATGTGGAAGACCCCAGGCTTCCCTATTCTACGTTTCCCCCTCCCTAATTCTTTTCTAAATGAGAGACACTTGTCCCTGTCCAGAAGGTAAGGGGGGATGGCTGACAAGGGATGGGGGTCTCTGGGCTGGGAGGGTTAGGGAGGGCAATGGTAGTTTAGATGGTTTGTCTATTTATTATTTATTTATTTATTTATTTATTTTTGAGACAGGGTCTTGCTGTGTTGCCCAAGCTGGAGTGTGGTGGCACAATCTCGGCTCACTGTAACCTCTGCCTCCCAGGTTCAAGCAATTCTGTCTCAGCCTCCCAAGTAGCTGGGATTACAGATAAAAACCCACACTGCTGTGCCCAGCTAATTTTTGTATTTTTAGTAGAGACGGGATTTCACTATGTTGGCCAGACTGGTCTTGAACTCCTGATCTCGGGTGATTCATTCTCTTTGGCCTCCCAAAGTGCTGGGATTACAGGCGTGTACCACCATGCCCTGTCGGTTCAGAGGGTTTAGACAGATGGAAAGGGCAGGAGCAGGAGCTGTGCCTGTGGCTGGTGGGGAGTGGAGGGTGTGGCAGGGGCAGGAGCCAGCACACTCTCTGCAAGGAGCATGAGAGGGAGGAGGAGTCAAGGGTCTACTTTCCTTTGATTTCTCCAGGGGATCTATAAGACCCTCTGCACAGAATCAAGCAAGCAGGCAGGCCCACATGGCTCCCTCTATGTTCAGGTGGGAGCGGGGGTTGGTTTCACTAGTAATGGAAGGTTAAGGCTGGGGCACAGCACTGAGGGTGGTCAAGGTGAGAACAGAGAATTGGGTTTGGTGAGGGGTCCCTGGGGACTAAATGGCTGAGGGAACTTTGGGCTGGGTAGAAAGCATCTCTCTCCCAGAGACATGGAGTCCTCTGTCTCCATGGGAAGCCCCCCAGCAGGACATGGCCTGGCAGGGCCTCTCCTGAGCAGGCTGGTTGGTGGCAGAGAGAGGGGCACTGTCCTTGATCTCTTGCCTGAGCTTACATGAGGGGAGGTGGGGGGCTGGAGAGTGTGGCCCCCTTTTTGAGACAACTCTGTATACTGACTTGAAAATATCTCCCAAGCCTCTCAAGCATCATGAATATATATACACATATATGTACATATATATGTGTATATATACATATATACATACAATATACATATATGTATGTATATACATCATAGGCATGAGCCACTGTGTCCGGCCGGCCCAGACATGCTTTTTTTTTTCTTTTTACCGGGCAGCACGTGGGTGCAGGGCCCCCACCAAGCTGCCCCAGCCATACTTTTAAATGGAAAAAAATATAAAGCAGTCATAGGCCGGGCGCGGTGGCTCAAGCCTGTAATCCCAGCACTTTGGGAGGCCGAGGCGGGTGGATCACAAGGTCAAGAGATCGAGACCATCCTGGTCAACATGGTGAAACCCCGTCTCTACTAAAAATACAAAAAAGTAGCTGGGCATGGTGGCACATGCCTGTAATCCAAGCTACTCAGGAGGCTGAGGCAGGAGAATTGCCTGAACCCAGGAGGCGGAGGTTGCGGTGAGCCGAGATTGTGCCATTGCACTCCAGTCTGGGTAACAAGAGCGAAACTCCGTCTCAAAAAAAAAAAAAAAAAAAAGCAGTCACTTTTGTAAAAATATAAAATATTTGACAGGTGGGGTGGCTGACGCCGATAATCCCTGCACTTTGGGAGGCTGAGGTGGACAGATCACCTGAGTTCAGGAGGTCAACACCAGCCTAGCTAACATGGTGAAACCCGGTCTCCACAAAAACAGAAAAATTAGCCGGGCATGATGATGGGTGCCTGTAGTCTCAGCACCCCAGACTGAAACAGGAGAATCACTTGAACCTGGGAGGCAGAGGTTGCAGTGAGCCCAGATTGTGCCTCTGCACTCCAGCCTGGGTGACAGAGCAATACTCTGTCTCAAAAAAAAAAAAAAAAAAAAAAAAAAAACTGGCTGGATACAGTGGTTCATGCCTATAATCCCAGCACTTTGGGAGGCCAAGGCGGGCAGATCACCTGAGGTCAGGAGTTTGAGACCAGCCTGACCAACATGAAGAAACCCTGTCTCTACTAAAAATACAAAATTAGCCGGGTATGGGGGCACATGCCTGTAATCCCAGCTACTCAGGAGGCTGAGGCAGGAGAGTTGCCTGAACCCAGGAGGCGGAGGTTGCGGTGAGCTGAGATCGCGCCATTGCACTACAGCTTGGGTAACAAGACCGAAACTCCGTCTCAAAAAAAAAAAAAAAGCTTTCTACGGCTGGGCATGGTGGCTCATGCCTGTAATCTCAGCACTTTGGGAGGCCGAGGCAGGCAGATCACCTGAGGTCAGGAGTTCAAGACCAGCCTGGCCAACATGGTGAAACCCTGTCTTTATTTAAACAAAAAACAAAACAAAACAAAAAAAAATCTTTCTTTCTACATCATTTCATGGGCATTTATTTGTAAGTACTGGGTTTAATACCTAAGAAGATAAGTTTATTAACCTAGGGACTGACTTTGCATAGCTTCCAGTGTAAAAGGTGTTGCTGCAGACTGAGTGTGTGGCCAGACATTGGGAGCCACTCAGAGGACACAGACACAGTGCTAAAGCATGGTACACATCGTAGATGAGGTAGTGATGTACCGTTGTGCTTGCAGAAGGTACACTCCAAGAGTTGGATTTCTAATCCCCGGATCTGCCCAAGCCTCAACCTGTCCCCTGCCTTGGATGGATATCAATACCACCTGGCTCAGGTGAAATTTCCTTTCCACCTGTTTAAGATTGTAATACCTCATAGCAATAGGAATAGTAATGGTGGATCCCTGAAGAAGGCAGAAGTTGTTGGATGGGGGCAAAAATGCTAGGGCCTTCTCGAGAAGTGCATCTGAGGTTCCTTTTGGAGACCTTCCAAAGCAAAGGTGGCTTTTGGGACTTACAGGACCTCTTTCCTAGGAATGCCTGCTTTCTTGAGGCTTAGTACCCCCCTGTAGCCTGATGTGCCAGAACTCAGCTCAGAAGTCTGGAAGCTTGGGCGGAGTGCCCGCCCCTGTGCTCGCTACAAGGGCATAGTGCGACCTTAAGCAAGATATTTCTCTTCTCTAGAAAAGTTTCCCTCTGGGGTCTCTCTCCTGGTGGCCCCCTTTCTCCTAGGCTACCTATCTTAGGGCCCTTCCCAAGTACAGTAATAGCTCTTGTAAACTAAGCAGTCACTCAAGTGAGCCCTGTCTTCTGAGTACATGCAGCATAATCAGATTCAAAATAGACTCAGTCCTGGTTCCCACTTTACGGATGAGCCAACAGGCAGGATGAGCCAACAGGCAGAAAGAGGGTAAGTCGGAAGTGCACACGGCAAGTTAACAGCCTGGATTTGACTCCAAAGCTTGAGCTGTGAATGGTGCTTCTGAATCTTGAGGTTAACGAGATTTCTTCACAACCTAGCCTGGGAGGGATTAATGCCACAAACGTATACTGAAGGCTGATCGTGGACCACCCACTTCCCTTGCTGCCTGTGCGTGGTCATCAGAGGCTGAGGCTGTCCGAGGCAATGGAGGAACACCGAGGTCTCCTTGCCCCAAGGCCTCTCCCAGCTCTCTCCACGAGGACTACTGGACTCCTGCCTGGACCCCCGCCCCCGGAGTCCCCCTGTTCTTCCCATTTCTTCGCAGATTCCTCGGGCCCACGAATGTGGAGCTCACTCCCTCGGAGGGCTCTGGGGAAGGAGGCGGCCGACTCCGCTCACCTCCTGCCTGGGCTAGGGAGGCGAGCAGCGCCAGGCGCGGCTGATATCCCGGGGCTCGGCCTTAGGCTGACTCCCGCGTGTTGGGCAGAGATAGGCCAGGGTCTTAGCGCAGGGGGCTCTGAGCCCTAAGGATAAGGTCGCACGGAAATGGCACGGAGATCTACCCAAAAGCGACGACCCCCGGGACTCTAGAATTTTGTACCACTTAGGCCGCCAGAAACGACCCCATGGCCTCCAGGCGGCCCTCCCTCAAGAGAGCCAATCGAAGGAGGACTGCTCTGGCCGCCAACCAATCAGCACCAAGGATTGCCGTTGAGGCGGGTCCGCGAGGGAAGTCGCCAGAGAGGCGAGGGCCCAAGACGTGTTGGCGGGGCTTTCCTCCGCGGAAGTGGTCCCGACCCTCTTCGAGTGGATTGGCTGCTCCGGCTTACCGGAAGTGCCGCTCAAGCCCGTGCTCTACTGCGCTTGCGCAGTCGTCCCCTGTAATATGCGCGTCTCCGGTTACTTCTTTGCTGGCGTCTTAGTCCATTTGTTTGGCTCTTTGTGCTGCGCAATGTCGTCGTGTTGGTGGCGGTCTTCAGTAACCGGGACCTTGGAGGCTGGGAGGGATAGCTGATGTGCAGGGCCAGCACTGGGGGCGAGCTCAGGGCGGGCAGGGATGTGCTCGAGGAGTGAGGCCCGCAACCCTGCAGAGGGCGCCCGGTCCTGTTGACTCACTCCTTGCTGGGGTGAGACAGTTGTTAGGGTTAAGTTTGCATTTCAGAACGTTCTGGTAAGGGCTTTGTAGCAGGGTGAGAGTGAAGACCTGTGCAAGAGAAGAAGCCATAAGGGTTCAAGATGCCAGGCGAAGCCACTTACCAACCTTTGCTCGTCCCACGCCTGGGAGAACTCGAGTGGTTTCCTCTAACTGCACAGGTTACCTCTTAGCACCCTGGTGCAACTCCTATTCATGTTTCCCCATACCAGACTTCTCAGCTCTAGGTCACCTCCCTTTCATTTCCTGCAGGCACTTCACATAAATTTTCTGTTTCCACACCATTTCTGACCTTTAAGAATTTCTCATTTCTGTTTTCTTTCCCACGCGGTAGCACAGGCCACCGCTAAGCACAGTCATAGGGAGATACCTGTTGAAATGTGCGCCAGCCCCTCAGGCTATGACACCCTCGAGGACATGGTCAGTGCTCCAAAATCACAGCGCTCAGCATACAGCCTGACTCCATCCAAGGGAAGTTAGGCAACCCGCTTCCTTGTCCCCCCCCCACCCCTAGTCAGAGCCCGTCCTTCTAGTTTCTCCGTATCTCATGTATTCAATCTTTTCTCTCCATCCAAATTCTCATCCTCTCTCCAAGGACCACTGTGAGCCATTTCTACTCTGTCCAGTTCAACAGCTGTCTCACCTGGAAAGCCACTTTTCCTGTTCACCTGCCTCTGGAGGCCCACCTTTCCCAAGCCCTACATCACAGGTATGGGTGTATCTTTCTTGACCACTCACCTCCCTTTTTGCTCAGGGCTGTGATTTCTTTCTTTTTTTTTTTTTTTGAGACAGAGTTTCGCTCTTGTTACCCAGGCTGGAGTGCAATGGCGCGATCTCGGCTCACCGCAACCTCCGCCTCCTGGGTTCAGGCAATTCTCCTGCCTCAGCCTCCTGAGTGGCTGGGATTACAGGCACACGCCAACATGCCCAGCTAATTTTTAGTATTTTTAGTAGAGACAGGGTTTCACTATGTTGACCAGGATGGTCTCGATCTCTTGACCTCGTGATCCACCCGCCTCGGCCTCCCAAAGTGCTGGGATTACAGGCTTGAGCCACCGCGCCCAGCCAGGGCTGTGATTTCAGGTTGCTCAGCTTCCTGTTCTCAGAGACCTTGGCATATGGATGGAATTCACTGTGGGAACTGGATGTATGTGTGAATTAACTATTGAGTAAAATGACTGATAGGTTACTGAGTATGCAGGGCAACATGGCTCACGCCTGTAATCCCAGCACTGGGAGGCTTAGGGACTTTGAGAACAGCCTGGGCAATATAGCAAGACCCTGTCTCAATAAAAATAAATAAATCACTGAGTAATATTTGGGTGGATGGATACGCTTTTGGATGGATAATTGGGTCTTAATCTTCTCAACAGCCTCTGAGATTTGGTTATTCCTTCCGGGAAACTCGCCTCTCTGACCTCTCTCCTCAGCTAGAGACCACCTGCCTCCTTTCTCCACAAGGATGTTTCAAAGGCTGCTAAAACTTGACATTTCCTAAAATAAATACTTGGTTTCTGCTTTAAACCAGTCCACTTACTCTCTGTGCTTCATCCAAATGGTAAAGCTGAAGGCCTGAGCATCATTCTAGACTTCACTGGTCTCCAAATCCCCATATCCAATCATTAAACTATTCTTATCCATTCAGCCTCCTAAACAGCTCTGTGACTCACCCTTTGCTATCCTCTCACACACATGAAGGGGGTCCTAGCTAGTCAAAAGGCTGAGATGAGAGGATCCCTTGAGCCCATCAGATTGGGCTTCAGTGAGCTCTAATTGTGCTACTGTACTCCAGCTTGGGTAACAGAGTGAGACACTGTCTCAAAAAAAAAAAAAAAAAAAAAAAAAAATCTGAAATCCAAAAATGCTCCAAAATCCAAAAGTTTTTGAGCACCAGCATGATGCCACAAGTAGAAAATTCCACACCAGGTCTCATGTGACAGGCTGTAGTCAAACAGTCAAAACTTTCCTTCATATGCAAAATGATTTGTAATATATAAAATCGGCTGGGTGTGGTGGCTCATGCCTGTAATCCAGGCACTTTGGAGGCCAAGGCCGGCGGATCACCTGAGGTCGGGAGTTGAAGACCAGCCTGCCCAACATGGTGAAACCCCGACTTTATATAAAAAAGAAATATATAAAATCACCTTCTGAGTATGTTTATAAGGTATATATAAAACATAAATTATTTAGACGTGGGACCCATTCCCAAGATATCTCATTATGTGTATGCAAATATTCCAAAATCCAAAAAATAAATTCCACAATCAGAAATGCCTCTGGTCCCAAGCATTTTTTTTTTTTTGGGACAGAGTTTCGCTCTTTTTACCCAGGCTGGAGTGCAATGGCGCGATCTCGGCTCACCGCAACCTCCGCCTCCTGGGTTCAGGCAATTCTCCTGCCTCAGCCTCCTGAGTAGCTGGGATTATAGGCACGCGCTACCATGCCCAGCTGATTTTTTGTATTTTTAGTAGAGACGGGGTTTCACCATGTTGACCAGGATGGTCTTAATCTCCTGATCTTGTGATCCACCCGCCTCTAGGCCTCCCAAAGTGCTGGGATTACAGGCATGAGCCACCGCGCCCGGCCATTTTCTTTTTTTTTTTTTTTTTTTGTGACGGAGTTTCGCTCTCGTTACCCAGGCTGGAGTGCAATGGCGCGATCTCGGCTCACCGCAACCTCCGCCTCCTGGGCTCAGGCAATTCTCCTGCCTCAGCCTCCTGAGTAGCTGGGATTACAGGCACGCGCCACCATGCCCAGCTAACTTTTTGCATTTTTAGTAGAGACGGGGTTTCACCTTGTTGACCAGGATGGTCTCGATCTCTCGACCTCGTGATCCACCCGCCTCGGCCTCCCAAAGTGCTGGGATTACAGGCTTGAGCCACCGCGCCCGGCCTCATTTTCTTTTTTTTAATAGAGTCTTGCTGTCACCCAGGCTGGAGTTCAGTGGTGCAATCTCAGTTCACTGCAACTTCTGCCTCCAGAGCTCAAGTGATCCTCCCACCTTAGACTTCTGTATAGCTGGGACTACAGGAGTGCACCACCATGCCCAGCTAATTTTTGTATTTTTAGTATGTTCCAGGTGACTGAGCAGATGAGGTTTTAGTTACATGTTCCAGGTAACTGAGCAGATGAAGTTTTTTAGTTACATGTTCCAGGTAACTGAGCAGATGAGGCTTCACCATGTTGAAACTGCCTTTGCAAAATTATGGCTTGAGACAGTGAAAGAGATCTAACTTAACCGACTCCATCTTGTTTCTAACTGCCAAACTGTCTTTGTTCATTCCTGGGCATAGGCTACACTAACTTTGGGAGCAACTTAGTTTGTAGTTTGTTTATTTATTTAGTTACTGAGATGAAGTTTTGCTGTTCTGCCCATGCTGAAGTGCAGTGGCGGGATGTAGGTTTGATCTCGGCTCACCACAACCTCTGCCTGCTGGGTTCAAGGGATTCTCCTGCCTTAGCCTTTGGAGTAGCTGGGATTAGAGGAGCCCACCACCATGCCTGGCTAATTTTTTTTTGTATTTTTAATAGAGATGGGGTTTCACCATGTTGGTCAGTCTGGTCTTGAACTCTGGACCTCAGGTAATCCACCTGCCTCCCAAAATGCTTGGATTATGGGTGTGAACCACCAAGCCTATCCTGTTTGTAGTTTATATTTTAAACAAAGACAGTAACAGCTCTTTCTCAAAACTGACTTCCTTCTTGCCTGGGGACTAGACTCACCTTAGCCACAGGATTAGAAATTATGGTTTAGGAGTCAGGCAGCTGGAGGCTACAAGATTCTTACCCTCCCTAGACTGCTCCTAAAGTCAGTGCTTGAGATATTTTGTAGACCTACCCTTGTGGATCAGCTGGCAACACCCTGATTGATAAACTGGCTTGTCTGTATTGTATCCTGTACCCAGGAACTGACTCAGTGCAAGAAGACAGCTTTGACTCCCTATGATTTCATCCCTGTCTAGTCAGCACTCCTGGCACACGGCCTCCCTCTCTACCTACCAAGTTATCCTTAAAACCTCTGTTCCCCTACCAGGCGAGGTGGCACATACCTGCAATCCCAGCACGTTGTTAGGCCAAGGTGGGCAGATCACGAGGTCAGAAGATTGAGACCATCCTGGCCAATATGGTGAAACCCCATTGCTACTAAAAATACAAAAATTGGCTGGGTGTGGTGGCTCGTGCCTGTAATCCCAGTTACTCAGGAGGCTGAGGCAGGAGAATTACGTGAACCAGGGAGGTGAGCTGAGATAGCGCCATTGCACTCCAGCCTGGTAGCAGAGTGAAACTCCATCTCTTAAAAAAAAAAAAAAAAAAACAAACTTTGTTCTCCAAATGCTCTGGGAGACTGATTTGAGTAATGATAAAACTCCAGGTGAATTACTCCTTCTCTATTGCAATTCCCCTGTCTTGATGAATTGGCTCTGTCTAGGCAGCGGGCAAAGTGAGCCTCTTGGGCAGTTACAATTTTGGCCTGGATCACTTGAGGCCAGGAGTGCAGGACCAGCTTGGCCAACAACATGGTGTGCACTACCATACCTGGGTAATTTTGGTATTTTTAGTGGAGACTGGGTCACCTGCCTCAGCCTCCCAAGGTGCTGGGATTACAGGCATCAGCCATTGTGCCTGGCTCCATTTTAAAAAATCTTGCCAGGCGCGGTGGCTCACGCCTGTAATCCTAGCACTTTGGGAGGCTGAGGTGGGTGGATCACCCGAGGTCAGGAGTTCAAGACCAGGCTGGCCATCATGGAGAAACTCCATCTTTAAAAAAAAAAAATCTTAATTGGCCTTGTGATTCTCGAATCAGGTAACACTTCATTCCATAAAATGGAACAAGTGTTCTAGGTAACTGAGCAGAGGAGGTTGATTTTATAGACCAAAAGGGCTGAAGAAAGGAGAAACAAAGAAGAAAAAGTAAATTGGCCTTTTTTTTTTTTTTTTTTGAGATGGAGTCTCACTCTGCCACCCAGGCTAGAGTGCAGCAGCATGATCTTGGCTCACTGCAACCTCCACCTCCCGGGTTTAAACAGTTCTCTGCCTCAGTCTCCCAAGTAGCTGGGATTATAGGTGCCTGATACCATGCCCGGCTAATTTCTGTATTTTTCGTAGAGAAGGGGTTTCACCATCTTGGCCAGGCTGAGTCTTAAACTCCTGACCTCGTGATCCACCCGCCTTGGCTTTCCAGAGTGCTGGGATTACAGGCGTGAGTCACTGCACTCAGTGGTGAATTGGTCATTTTAAGGTTACTTCCTCTTAAGGCAAGAACAAGGAGACAGAACTATAGAAAAAAAAATGGTTTGATGATTGGCTAACCTTGGGTCCCTTTTTGTTGTGAGAATTAAAGGCAGAGGGAACTTCATTATCATGCCGCTGAAGCTGGCCTGTTTGGGAAGTTGGACTGTTATTTCTCTCCAGTAGGAGAGAAGGCCAGAGATGAATCTGTTTTGGAGTAGTTGTATTAGAATGAAAATACTTTGAAAGTTATATTAGATAAAAATTGTAGGCCAACACACCTGTAATCCCAGCATTTTGGAAGGCAAAGGTGAGCAGATCATCTTGAGGTCATGAGGATCACCTTGAGGTTGGGAGTTTGAGACCAGCGTGATCAACATGGAGAAACCTTGTTTCTACTAAAAATACAGAAGTAGCCAGGCGTGGTGGTGCATGCCTGTAATCCCAGCTACTTGGGAGTCTGAGGCAGGAGAATCACTTGAATCCATGGGGCAGAGGTTTCGGTGAGCCAAGATCGCGCCATTGCACTCCAGCCTGGGCAACAAGAGCAAAACTCGATCTCGAAAAAAAATTATAGGAGACCCTTGTCCCTTGTTTTAGACTAAGCTGATCTGTTGGGGCCTGGTGTAGAAGCTTAGTTCAAAACAAGGGTCTCCTGTAATTTTTATTTATAGAATTACTTGATATTTATGGATTGATTCAATACACACATCTCACTGCAGTTCCGGGGCTGCTCCTGGCAGCTCAGTTCTGTGGCTGCAAAGGGGCAGCCCAGAGCTCCTGCTTCCAATGGCTGACGTCATGATGGGTTGCTAGTGGGAGGAAGAAATAGATGGTGTCATCTTCTCAATGTTGACTGACAGGTGTAGTGAAGATTCATAAAGCAGGCTTCAAGGGAGACTGCTGGGGCAGAGAGACAGCTTTCTCAGAGGTCAGTCAGTTGGTGAAAACAGATTTTGTTTTCTGTTCCTTTTTTTTTTTTTTTTTCCCTCAGTGATCCTTGTTCTGGTGTTTTTTGTAAATTTTTGAGATGGAGTTTCACTCTTGTTGCAATGGCGCAATCTTGGCTCACCGCAACCTCCACCTCCTAGGTTCAAGTGATTCTCCTGTCTCAGCCTCCTGAGTAGCTGGGATTACAGGCCTGTGCCACCATGCCCAGCTAATTTTGTGTTTTTAGTAGAGATGGGGTTTCTCCATGTCGGTCAGACTTGTCTTGACCTTAGGTGATCCACCAGTCTCAGCCTCCCAAAGTGCTGGGATTACAGGCATGAGCCGCCGTGCCCAGCTAAAACAAGTTTTAAA